AAGGCAAAGGCACTTGTCTGGCCTGCATTGATGTCCCGGGTTCAATCTCTAGTACCAGGGGCAGGAGGACCGAGAAACAGGAGAGTCACTTTTAGTTCAAGGCCAGCCTGGGAATTCCAGACCAGCTTCACCTACAGAGACCCTGTCTCCAAAAATAAAACAAATCAAATGTATAGGAAAAAAGGAAAAAAGCAAAGGCCTGAGCACTTTGAAGAATCAGAAAAAGACCCTTCCCATCATTCTAGACCAACAAATACTTGTATTTGTTGCTTAAACACTTGTTACTGTTTCCCTACCTGCGGATTCTCATTCTCTTTCAGGAAGTTTACTTTGTGTATACAGTTTAACCTCACACAAGTCTAACATGTTGCAATTCTCAAAGTATCCACACCAGAGGGCTTTCTTTGCTGAGTTCATTCCTAGGCACCCAAAGGAAACAGAAAAACAAATAAGAACAGGCAAGTGTAAGAGGCTGGACCAGCTGAGGACTGGCATCATCTTGCGGGAGGAGGAACCAAGTCAGAAATGGTACTACTGCTTGCCACCCCTCCCAGGTAAGAAGGCAACCAAGTCCAGACCAGAGCTCAAACTTCCTACCCAGTGCGCCCTGTAGGACAGGGGTATGGCTCAGATACAGTCCTACCCACTAAAAAACTTCACCAAAAACAAACACAACACACACATTTATGTGTGTAAAGGCTGGCACATGTTTTTAAAAACTCAAGAAATAAAAAGCTGCCTTTGTTGTGGTGGTGCACACCTGTGATCCCAATATTGGGGAGACAGGGCAGGGACATCAAGAGTTCAAGTCCCACATCAGCTACATAGAGATTCAAGGCCAGCCTGAGTTTAATTAGATTGTCTCCAAAAGAAAACAAATAAAGCCAGGTGGCGGCGCACGCCTTTAATCCCAGCACTCGGGAGGCATAGGCAGGTGGATCTCCAAAGCAAGTTCCAGGAAAGGCGCAAAGCTACACAGAGAAACCCTGTCTCGAAAAAAAAAAAAAAAAAAAAAAAAAAAAGAAAAGAAAAGAAAACAAATAAAACAACTAAGGCCAGGCTTGGTGGTGCATGCCTGTAATCCCAGCACTTGGGGGCAGAGACAAGCAGATCTCTGTGAGTTCAAGACCAGCCCTGTCTACATATTGAATTCCAAGCTAGCTAGGAATACATAGTAAAATCCTGTCAATAATAATAACAATAACAATAGTAATAACCACACCCAGCATAGCCCAGGGCAAAAAAGAAGCCGATTTGACTCTACCCGGGTGTGAGTTTTCACAGCACCACTACCAAGGAGCACAGCTCCCTTCAACAATATGAAGATCTATTTCTTCTACAGCTGCCACTGAAAAACCCATTTATCAGCTTGGTCCACAGTTTTTATCTTAGGCTTAACTTTCTATGAGGACTTAACTGAGCCAGTGGCAAGAAGCCAGGGATAAGAAGTCAGGTAGCCAGAGGAATGTGGGATAGCAAGGTTAGAACCAAAGAGGAAATGCTCCTGGCAGAACTCATCTCTCGGATATGTCTGTGACCTTTAAGCCACTTCTCCAGGTCTCAAGGACTTGTGGACAAGTGGGGTCGTTGGGTAGAGCAGAGCTGCCCGGGTGAGGGACCACCTGGGGAATCCTTCCGGTCCAGAGTAGGCAGCGTGTTTCCTGGCTCACTCCTTCTTCACAAGGCAGCACCAACAATTCCTTCATCTCAAATCCTCAAAGTGCTTCTCAGCTTAGAGGAGACACAGGAAAGTATTTCCTGACTTTGCAAGGACAGACATGATTTTTAAGAGGTTTTTTATGGGGGGCCCTTCCACCCTGATTCCCTAGTGAATAATAAGCTACTGACCTCTCCTTCTGGGTCAGCACATTTCATGACTCGGAACAATACCATGAGCCCTGAATCACAGTCCTTTCTTGAACACTGACTATCATTGTTAACATACCTGTAAAATTATATCAGATAAACCTTCAACCTCTAAAATGAAAGAATGGAGTCGGGTATGGAGGTGCACCCATTTAATCCCAGCACTCTGGAGGCAGAGGCAGAAGGATCATGAGTCTGAGGCCAGCCTGGGCTACGTGAGCCGAGGTCTCATATAAACAAACAAATATAGGTTAAACTATAATCTGACTTCCTGAGGCCTCCCCAAGTTCCCACAGAACAGAGTCACGAACAACTTGGAAACACATTTGGGCAGATCCACCTGTGACAGACACAACACAGGAGCAGACCAAGGTAATCTTCACAGGACTTTTGCTTTAATCCCAGCACCCAGGAGGCAGAGGCAGGTGGATCTCTGCATTCAAGGCCAGCCTAGTCTACAGAGTGAGTTTCAGGACAGACAGGGCTGCACAAAGAAACCCTGTATGGGGGTGGGGGAGGGTTTTTGCATCATTTAAGATTCTAGGCACTGTGTTCAGATAACAGCCAACTGAGAAATGGCCTGACGAACCCAGAGGTTGGTTGGAGCCTAGGTTTCCTAGTGACTGTACTCAGTAGGACTGCATGGGAGGTTGACTGGACCACGGGCCTGGGTACCAGGTGTTTGTAATGGTCTAACTAGCAAGAGGGAGGCTTTTTGCTCCACCCCTTGGCGTTGTTATAAACAGACCTTTGGAATACAGTTCTGGGCGGGTGGATAAGGATCCAGGCTCACCAGCGTCTGTCCTGTGTTCTCTCTCCCTCTCTTTCTAAGTCTCTATCCCTCATTCCTCAAGAGTCCCTGGGGTAAATAAGTGTGGGGGCTGGTCTTAGAGGTTCAGGTTCACACTTGTATTATTTTTTAAAATAGTCAACAAACATCTTCCAGTGATCCCTACAGGTCCCCAAACCAAGTTAGCAGGGCCTCCATTTCCATTTTCTAGATACCCACTGTCAGTGAATTGTGTTGTTCCAGGGACATTCAAATCAATATGGGAGGACTTTTTACAAGAACCCCTGTGGGTAAAATGGGTAACACCAAAACATTATAACATCCTTTTTCACCAAGAACTGTTTACTCCAACACAGCTTCTCAGAACCCAGACCTACAGACTTCTGCCACGAAGCTGTCTACACTGACAACCTCACCTCCATCTTCTTTCCCTTACCTCCAACAAAATTCTCATAGTTTGGGAAGGGTTTGGATTTTTGTATGTTGGTTTGGTTTTGTTGAGACAAGGTCTCAGGCAATCTCAAGCCGGCCTTAAACTACCAAAGCAGCTGAGGATGGCCTTGAACACCTGCCCACATCTAGGATTACAGGCAAGCCTCACTGCTAGCCACTCACCAACTGCAACTTCAGAAGATTTAAACTAACTGAAAGCTCAAGCCGAGGAAATCGAGAGGCATACAAGTTTGGATCGATGCTTCTCCAAACTTCTCTATGACACAAACAATATAAAACACCTAATACAGCGTGCCCTTGTGTCCCAACACACAATACCTACTCTAAGTGCAACACACACACACACACACACACACACACGCACGCACGCACGCACGCACGCGATGGCCATGATCCACTAAACTGATTTTCAAGTCACTCATGGGAGTGTTTGAAAGACACTTCAACAGCCCGAACCTTCCAGCTACAAACGGGCAGCTGGATATCCAAATACAGCAGACACACTGACCAGGATAGACAGTGTCCAGCCGTGACTGCAAGGCCCTGGGTGCCAGCATTTCCCAAGCAACCCAAGGTGACTCCGTCTCAGCTCTTGTGACCGCTACATAATCTGTCCCTTAACGTCTCGGCGTGGCAAAGCTCACTTAGTGCGCACAGTGGAAAGCAGTGTTTCCTTCTGTTCCCTTTAAGAACCCGCAATTAAACAGGTGGTGTTTGTCCTGTCTTTGTGATCGTGATTTGTGTGGTGACACATACAGAAAGGAGGCGGTCCGCCTCTCCAACGTCCCAGTCTTAACCCCTGCTAGGTGAGGTCTTTGGTGAACTGAGAGAGCAGGGAAAACCCTGGACCAGAGGAGTAATTCTGCCTGACATAAGCGAAAGCAAGGACTCCCTCTTTACACTGAAGAAGCTTCCAGCAAACTCATCTCCAGACCCAGTGGGAGAAGGAGGAGCAGATAAACTGCAGGAGACACGCCAGAGCAACCGACCGAAGTTACTTGGCCCAGGCTAGACTGCAGCTCCCATTCCCCGAGGCTCCACCTCCCTGACCGGGATAAGCAGGTGAGCGCATCCAGGGGGCGTGGGAGGCGCGGAAGCGGCGCGCACCATGCAGCCCTGGGCAAATAGGAGGCTAGGAGGGTCCAGCTCTGAGGCCTCGCGAAGCGGGGGACCCCTCTCACTTGACCCTGGGCCCAGTATGGCTTGTCCTCACCCCTCCCCGAGAGCGCCTCCCCTACTGCAGAGAAGAAAGGGGAAGGAGAAGCCGCGCGAGGGGAACAAGGTGGCCCCTGAGCCCCCATCATACCGCGTTGGCTGCCAGGGAATCTCCCGCCACGAGCCCTGCAGGTCAAGCCCCACCCCGCACCCTGCGCCTGCGCGCCGGTGGCGCTCCGCGAGTGCGCGCGCACTTTCTACGTGTGCGGCGTGGGGGGCGGGCCCGCCGGGAGCCCCGCCCCCGGGCTCCCCTCCCTCCCTCCGGCTCCCCCTCCCCCACGCGCTGCCGCGGCCGCCGCAGGAGCCCAGAGCTCAAGCCGCCCGGCGACTCCCCCTCCCCCTCCCCAGCCCCGCCCCGCCCGGAGCCGGGGCTCCCGAGTCGGAGCCGAGTCTGCGCCTGGGGGTGAGTACGCGGACCCCTCCCCAGCACCCCTTACTTGGAGCACAGGATCCCACTACCACCCCAAGGAAGGAAAAAACAAAAAGCAAAAAAAAAAAAAAACACCCGGACTCAGCTGCGCGTCCCCTCCTTTCCACCTCCTGCGGGACCCAGAGGTGCCCAGGCCCCGCGGGACCCAAGGGAGGCACGCTTTGTCCCCAAACCCGCACCGTCCCTGGCCAGATGGGAGTCCTTCCCTCCTTGTCGGGGCTCCAGATGTGCGCCGCCCTCTGCCCCCGCCCCGCTGGGATATCCCAAGGGGTGGGACCCCCTCTGTCCCGGCCCTTGAGTGCTACTCTCGTCCCACCTGCCCCATCCAGGTGCGCGGCCCCTGCGCGGCCCTCCTCGGGTCCCAGCTGCTCCCCAGCCGCCGGCGCCGCTGAAGGGAACCACCCGCCTCCGCCCCCGAGTTTTGCATTCTGGGGTCGCCAAGTCCAATGCCCTCGGTCTCTTTTTATTCTTTCTCTTGTTGCTGGGGACAAAGCTGGCCTCGAACAAGGGGGTCCAGGCTTGGGCAAAGGGGAGGGCTCGAGGGTCCTGGCACCTGACGGGTGGCTGGCCCTGGCCCTGGTGGGGACTGGTCTGCCGGCTGGAAGAGGACGGCTGGCCCCGGGAGCATGTCCTCTCTTGCGCCCCACACAGAGCAGTTCATTCATGAGCCGCCCCGGCCTGCGTTGGAGGGTGCGGTGGGGAGAAGAATCAGACGCGAATCCGGAGTAGGCAAAGGCCCTGTTGAGGGGGAGGGGGCGCGCTTTGTCCCTCCCGGCTGTCTTGACCGCCTGGTGCGGACTGTCCCAAAGCTTGTCGTTGGGTTACCCAGAAGAATGAAGGAGGCCTGGGAAGTGGGGAAGAGAGGTCAGAGGGGCTGGCCGCCCTTGGGGCTTCGTGCTGCCACCAGCCTTGGTCCCCTTGTCAGGTCTGGCGGCCCATTGCCCAGGGGGGCTTGGGTCTCCGCTCCCTGACCCTGTAGCCTCCGCCCCGGTCTGCAGTAGTCCGGGGTGAATGAGAATGTGCCCAGCAGCTCCTGAAGAGGGTCCCACAGCCCTCTGCCTTCCAGATTCTTGAGAGCAGGGGAAGGGGAGTGAGTGACTGCCAGGCTCAGGTGGGGGGTTTGCTGGCAGCACTTTTGTCCTCCGGGGTACCAGAGGGTCTACGCCCTGGCATGCCCCAGGTAGCACATGCTGGGGCCTGCTGTTAGTTCATCCAGTGCAGCCAATGAGTGAGTGAGTAGGTGGGTGGGGATGTTTTGAGGCAGAAGATGGGTGATAAGTAGCTAAGAGCCCCTTTTTGGACATCATACAAGTTCCTTCCAAGCACAACAAACTGACAGAAACTTGGGTTCGAATCCTAGCCGTGCTGTTCTTGAGCCGTGTGACCTTGACAAGTTACTTAACCATCGGAGCCCTCTGTTGCTATTTAAAAGTGTGATTGGTTACCACCACCTCCTTCCGAGGTGGAGCTTTGGGATCCGATAGTGTGATGCAGGTAAAGAGCCTGGCAGGCTGCCTGACGGTTGATCAATAGTAATGGGTTCACTTCTCTGAACTTCCTGACCTACCAGTCACCTCTGGTGCCCCACCTTGCCTAATGCAGGTGGATGGGGTACATTCTGGGACTTGGTGACAGAGTCCTTAATGTAGAGGAAGCAGCCTCCCCCACTGAGTAGTTCAATTCCTATCATGAAATTATATGCTTTATTTTGTTCTTAACCAGCCTACCTCCATTAAAGCAACCTCTTGGAGTCTATATCTTGTTAACAACAACTGTTTTTGTGTTGTGTTTGTTTGAGATCCGCTATCATTTAGCCCAGGCCAGCCTTGAACTCCTGATCTTCCTGCCTCCACCTCCCAGGTGTATACCAGCATGCTTGACTTTCAACAGCTGGTCTTTTCTTGGGGCAGTTTGTTTTGTTTGGTTGGATTTCTCTTAAGAGCTTTGAACTCTTTTGTTTGTTTCTAATCTTATTTCGTCTTTCAAGCGGCCACAGGGCTGAGTGGCTGTCCCCATCTTCCAGGTGAAGGACCTGAGACCCGAGCTGGTTAAGTACTTTTTCCAGAATAGAACCCAAGTGCATTTCATTCTAGAGCCCCTGCCTTCTATCCTTGCCTCAGAACTTGAACCCACAAACTCGAGTCAAGGATCAGGAGCTACAAGCAAGAAGAAAGGCAAGCCTCCAGGTCCTGGGGTGTGGCATTCCAGAACTGGCGCTAACAGCCCTCAGCCTCAGAGCCCTGCTGGTGGCCTCCCCTTTTTGCAGGGGCAGCAAAATGCCTGGGCCTGTCTCTGGATCTACCACAGACTGGTGACTTCCCCAAGTTATTTGCTCTCTGTGTGCCTCAGTGGCCTGTTGGGGTTGCCAGGGGTAGCAAATAGTAACATTTCCAAAGTGCTTGGGGTGGTAATGCCTTGCACAGAATAAAAGTAAAATAAGCCAGTGTGGTAGCTTGTGTCTCCAGCATTCAGGAAAGTCTTGACTTGAAACAAAACCTAAACTATATAGCTAGACTCTGGGGAGATGGGGAGTGGGGCAGCTCGCCTCTGGATAGATACGCTTTTACTTTTCTCAGAGTTCCACTCAGGCCGGGCAAAGCCATTAATACTATTTGTTACAGGTTGGAAGAGTGAGGCCCAGATTTCATATTAAGAGTTAATCTCACTGGGTGGTGGCGGCTGCGCATGCCTTTAATCCCAGCACTTGGGAGGCAGAGGCAGGTGCATCTCTATCAGTTTGAGGCCAGCCTGGGCTACAGAGTGAGTTCCAGGACAGACAGACAGAGAAACCCTGTCTTGAAAAACCAAAAAAAAAAAAAAAAAGAGTTAATCTCTTCTCACTGCCTGTACAAGAATCCCAAACCCTAAATTAAGTCTTTCCCAGTAACTCTACAAGGAAAAAACAAACAAACGAAGCAACAAAGTAACTTCTACCCTGTGATACACAGTTTTTATTAGTGAAATGACAATGTTGACTTGGTCTAACATCCCCATCCTGCTACAAAGCCAGCGTGAGTATCCAGCTAGAGAAGTGGGCTCACAGCTGGCTGGGCAAGTCTGCACTTGGAGAACCTTCGACTCCTACTACTGTCTCCCGGTAGTTTTCTGTCCTCTTCTCAGCTTCCCAGCCCTAGGCTGGATTGGAAGGCAGTTGCTCTGGATGACACAGCCCAAGAGCCCCACCCCTACAGTTAAGAGCTGGAAGTCACCCTGTGGACTGGCAAAGCCACTAACCCAACTCCACCCCTTCCCTACCCTGTGACCTTGCCTGGCTCCATTCCCTTCCCTGGTCCCAATTTCCTCCCTATGGATGGGTGATCTGGGTGTGCCCTGCTTGCCTTGGGGGTGGGGGGAGAGCGGTGTAGTTGGGAGCAGAGGGTGCACTGTGACAGTACAAAAATTGGCCACGAAAAGACCTGGTAGTTAGCAAGCATCCCGGGGAACTCTCACCCACCCTAACAGAGCCATATCACGTAGAAGCTTCCAGAATGGCCCATCTTCATTCAGAGTAGAGAAGACAGGAATGGGAAGGTGGCACTTTTTAAAAGGGTTTGAACAGTTTAGAAACAAGAGATGGGTTGGGCACTGAGGTTCCCGGAGGTCAGAGAGGTCAGGACTGGGCATTTAGCTTGGTGGATAGAGTGTTTGCTTCGCATGAATGAAGCCGTAGGTTCGATTCCCAGCACTTGGGAAGTAGAGGCAGGAGGGTCAGGAATTTAAGGCCATCCTCAGCTTCATAGCAAGACTGAAGCCAGTCTAAAATATATGAGACCTTGTCTCAAAGGAAAAAGGGGGGGCTCATCGGAGCCTCCCTCCGCAAAGTGCCTATACCCACCTTTAGCCTGTCCTGGTGCCTCACATCTGTGCATCTTATATTTACACACCCAGGCTCCCAGGCACACCCCCACACACACACACTCCTCCACTCAGAGGCCATGAGTCCCTTTATATCTGCACAGTGTTGTATAGTCACCTAGCTCCTTAGACAGACAGACACATGTATGAGCATGTTTACACATCTGAACACATGTCTCAACTGCCCTTGTATTCTCTGTCTCAAGAACAAATAATTAGCATTGTATTTATGAAGCTTCCATATTATGCAGAGGATTTGAGGGGGGGCAGGTTCAAGACAGGCTTTCTCTGTGTATCTTTTGGAGCCTGTCCTGGAAATCACTTTGTAGACCAGGCTGGCCTCAAACTCAGAGATTCACCTGCCTCTGCCTACCAAATGCTGGGATTAAAGGCGTGCGCCACCATTGCCTGGTATATGCAGAGATCTTAAATTGGAGGTCAGCCTAGGCTACACAGAGACCTTGGGAAGAGAGGGAGACAGAGTGCTGCCCCACCCCCACCCCTGGCATGGTTACATTTTTACCTTTCTGTGAGAGCCTCGCTGATATCTCCTTGTTACAGAGTGGAAGAGTGAGGCCGAGGTCCACCTTCACCTGTCCTAGGCCCATCAGCAAAACATCTGTGTTCAGAGAAGGGTCTCCCCCTTGGGTAGAAATTGACTTGGGTTTGAATTCAAGTCTCCATCATTTTATTTGCAGTGAGACCTAGAGGGCAAGTACTTAACTTTTCTGAGCCCTCTCCTCACATCTTCAAATGACAGTGATACAACTCACAGGGTGTTTGAGGATTGTTTGAAGTGTTATTGGTTTGTTTGGTTTGGTTTGGTTTTTTGAGACAGGGTTTCTTTGTGTAGCTTTGCGCCTTTCCTGGGACTCACTTGGTAGCCCAGGCTGGCCTCGAACTCACAGAGATCTGCTGGCTCTGCCTCCCGAGTGCTGGGATTAAAGGCATGCGCCACCACCACCCGGCTTTGTTTTGTTTTTTTATCTTAAGAATATTGTGTGGGGTGCTTTGCCTGCATGCATGTCTGTGTACCATGTGGGTGCAATACCAGCAGAGGCCAGAAGAGGGTGTCATGTCACAGACAGTTACAGACAGTTGTTAGGGGCCACATGGGTGCTGGGTATTGAATCCCTGTTATCTGCAAGAGCAGCCCATGCTCTCATCCACTGAGCCATCTCTGGAGCCCCGTATATTGTTATTCTTGAAACAGCGGACACTAGATAAATAGTCCTTGCTACAATGATTAAACTCCTGTGTTTTTAAAGGCAGCTTGGGCCAGAAAAGGAGCCTGTCTAACACATGCAGGGGAGTTATTCCCCGCTCCATCCTGACGCAGGCTTTGCAAAGATTCTCTTGCACCAAGAGAAGCACACAAACAGTGCTCGTGTTCTCATCCTTAGAGAGCTTCTGGCTCCTGCCCTGTTTGAATGGGAGAGGGGAGACCCCAGGACTGCTAGGTTACCCCAGAGGGGCTAAGGGGCAGACAGTTCCTAGTAAACTGCCAGTCACCTCCTCTAGACTTGTTATTCTCTCTTTGTCTGGTTACCTTTCTTCCCTGGGGACCCACCTCCAGGCAGATCTTCCATGTTGTCAGCAGAAGGGGCCCTCAGGGGCCCTGAGTAGGACCGGGTGGGGCTGTGCTGCTGTGGAAGTGCCTCTGCTGCAGCCACGCTTCCCCAGCCTGGGGACCTCCCAGGGGCCCTGCCCATCTTTGTCCCCAAGCATTTCCAGAGCCCCGGGATCCAGTTGGCTTTCCTTTCCTCCTCTCCTGCCCCTCATCCACTGACAGCACAAAGGGCTGTGGCAGGCACCAGGCAGGCACCAGGCAAGACAGTAGTACAGTGGTTGCTGGGGGCCTTTAGAGGCCTCCGCCCACTCTTTCCCCTCTTTTGCCAATGGAAAAGCTGGCTGGAGGGCACAGCATTCCCAGCCTGCTCTGCTCCGGAGGCAGAAGCACAGCATTCTGGGAGTTGTAGTCCTCACACCCCTCTGTTCCCCCTGTACTGCTAGTTGGAGGGAGGGAAGGGAAGCTGGGGTGGAGAAGGGCAGGTGTGGCTGGCACCAGCAGGTGACACAGACTCTGAAGTCTGGTGCTGTTGCCTGCCTTCCAGCCAGTGCTCTGCCCTGAGGACACAGGAGCGGCTCTGAGGCCGACCATCTGTTTGGAAGGTGGCTCTATGGAGCGGTTAGCAGAATTCAAATCTAAGCACATTTGATCATTCTGTTTATCTTCTCACTTTTCAATTGAACTTAGGGGTTCTGAGGGGGTCAGAATGAAGCAGTTGGCTCTGGACTCTTACTCTCTGGCACAGAGACAGGCCTCTACCCATCTTTAAAATGTTTGTGTATATTGCTTTGTGTGTGTGTGTGTGTGTGTGTGTGTGTGTGTGTGTGTGTGCCACATACATTCCTGGTGCCTGCAGAGGTCAGAAGAGGGCATCTTATCCCCCTAGAGCTAAAGTTATGAAGGTCATGAGCCTCCATGTGGATGCTGGAAACCTAACCCAGGTCCTCTGGAAGAGCAGTGAAGCTCTTAACCGTGGAACCATCTACAGTCTCCACCCCTCCTCATTTCTCCTGCCTAAGAGAGATTCTTTATGAGTTGGGGTAGGTGGAGGTAGACATTGAGCTCACGCTTCTGCCTTTGTAGTGAAACCATTCACATACACACACATACACACACACACACACACACACACACACACACACACACACACACAATTAGGATCAGAGTGTGCTGCCCGGACTCAGGATAGAGTCATAGCCAGAGGACCATGAAATAAACCCATGTGATACACACCTCTCTTCCCGAGGCCCTTATTTCTCACGGGCAGAGTTCCCACCCTCTGAGGCAGCTGGTCAACCCTCTGTAGACCCACCTTGCAAGGCCAGGGTGGGTAGGGGACGAGCCCAGCTGACTGACTTGCCCTCTGCGCAGGAGGACCATGCGGCAGTAGCAGCCATGCTGCCATTCTTGCTGGCCACACTGGGCACCGCGGCCCTCAACAGCAGCATCTCCAAGGACTACTGCTACAGCGCCCGGATCCGAAGCACTGTCCTACAGGGCTTGCCCTTTGGGGGCGTCCCCACTGTGCTGGCTCTGGACTTCATGTGCTTCCTTGTGAGTGTCCTCATACCGTCCCTACCCTGGACACCTGGGCCCAGGACACCCCCTGCAGACATCCTCCACCTCTGACCCATGCCCCGCCTTCCCATACCTAACCAAGAAAAAGGGGGTCCCTGCTTTCCAACTCTGTCCACTGGCCCAAGCCAGCATCCTCCCTTTTAAGGTTCTGAGCCCTGGCTGTAGACAGCTGTTGACCTGCCTCCCCTCTGCCCTCAGGCCCTGCTGTTCCTCTTCTCCATCCTCCGGAAGGTGGCCTGGGACTATGGGCGGCTGGCCTTGGTAACAGATGCAGACAGGTAAGAAGGCTTGGGGTTACCCCTCCACTGTACACCAGCATCATGGTCTGTGCTGCTTGGGAGCAGGGGAGAGCCAGCCTTTTCCCATCCCCTCTCTTGAGGGGTGGAAAGAGACGAGTCCCTGGGCCAGCGTGGGATGATGGTCTGTGTCCCGCCGGTCCCCGGGGACTTTCCTTCGCCCTGTAACCTGTCTGTTCTCTGTCCCCAGGCTTCGCCGGCAGGAGAGGGAGCGAGTGGAGCAGGAATAGTATGTGGGGCACCAGCCCCCTCATCCACACTAAACCAGCTTCCCTTTTCCCTCTCCTTTTCACGCTTCTCTTCTCTCCGCGCCAGTGGCTGGTTCTCTTTTTTGCAGCTTTCTCCTCTGCAGGCTCTTGTTTCGGATTAACGCAGGCGGTGTGCTTTGCAGAACAAGGGGCTCCTCAGCTTGTCTCTGCCCCTCCTGGTTTCGGTCTTCCTCTCAGGCTCCCTGCCTAAGAAAATCCCCTCTGTACGGACCCCTGCATTCTCAGCCTTCACTGGCTGGGCCAAGGGACCATCCTCTGGGAACTCCCCAGAAAATCCCTAGCACTATCATGCAGAGACAAGATTGGGTGTCACCAACGGTTCCCATCCCCTAACAGCTAGTTCTTCATATTCCAGGGTTCCCTGCTCCTTCTGGAGGCCTAGGACGGGCCCTGCCCAGGGAGTCCCCATTGTGTGGCCTTAATGTCTCCTTGTGGTCTCTGTGCATAGGACCGAATTGGAGCTGTGGAAGCTGATGGCTCCGGGAGAAGGGAGGGTCGGGCCCTGCCCAAGAGACACCTTCCAGTCTTGCCACCCATCTGGGTCCTTCCGGTCCCCGGTCCCCGTTTTCCTTCACCTCCCCTTTGCTTTTGGGGTAACACTGGCTCTGTTGCCGATCTCCCACTCCCCCTGCTGGTCACCTCCGGAACTGCAGGGACCTCTAACATTTCTTGCTTCAGCCTCCATTCTGGGCAGTAATGAAGACCCCCTTAAGGTCCACTCACTGTCCATCACCCCTGAGGGAGGCAGGGTAGGGGGAGGTCACTCCTGCTTCAGCCTCTGCGCTTTCTATACTTTCTTGAGCCCCTCTGGGTGCTGAGCCCCTCTGGGTGCTGAGCCCCTCTGGGTGCTGACGTCGGCCCCTCCGAGGCTCACGTTCCTCCTCTCACCTTGCTCTGCTCTGTCTCCCCACCCCAGTGTGGCATCAGCTATGCATGGGGACAGCCATGACCGGTATGAGCGTCTCACCTCCGTCTCCAGCTCCGTCGACTTTGACCAAAGGGACAACGTGAGTGTTCTCCCGGTTTCCTTGACTGTGCTGCCGTCAGGTCAGGGACACCAGCGTGGCCTTCTCTGTGTGTGAGGAAAGTGGCATGCTAGCCTTCGGAGGCCAGCAGCAGGCCCAGAGCGCCCGGGACACAGGACGAGGTCCTCTGAATGGTACCCCTAACATTTATCAGTTCCGAACTTTGTCCGCCACAGTAGAACTTGATGCCCACCTAGACTATTGATGAAAACTCTGAACATGGTTTTAGAAGCCATGATGAACTTGAGGGTCCGTGTAGTGAAGATTAGACCCCCTTAGCGTTACACTGCGGTTGTAGGCTAGTGACCCTGGCCCTGGGGACCGACTGCCTTCCGGGTGTTAGTGCTGACTAAACAGTCCCCTCAGACCTGACCGGTCACAGCAGTCCCCAGACCTCCTTCGCAGCAGACCAGGCACACAGCTGTTCCCTGCCTGGTCCTCCTGTCGTTTTGATGGTGAAGTTCCCAGGCAGAATCTCTGGGTCGGCCCTGGCCAGTCACACTTGGGCTGGGGCTCCTGCAGCAGCCTTAGCAGAGAGGTCAGCTTCCTGAGACTCACAGGGTAAGTGGCGAGCTACTGGGATGACCCCTGCTAGCCAGAGGTGTCCCAACGGTCCCCAGACCTCAATGGAGCTCAGGTAACCAGACCTCCTGCATCTTGGCCGGAAGGCGCACTCTCCCCATCCTGCGCTAAACAGGAGCCTTCTCCTGGTAGAAGGTGAGGAGGATCCACTCTCTCTGAGCATCCACTCTCTACCTGGAGGCAGGCCTGAAGGAAAGAGAGGGAGGTGATGCCGGCCAGCTCACCCTAGATTTTGGTCCCTTTGAGGTGAAGGCAGGCACTCGGCAGCACAGCACGCCCCTCTGCTTTGGGGGCCATGCTTTTTTGTTTGTTTGTCTTTTGAAGTAAATTGTCAGACTCTTTTTTTTTTTTTTTTAATTTAGTTTTTCGAGACAGGGTTTCTCTGTGTAGCTTTGCGCCTTTCCTGGAACTCACTCTGTAGCCCAGGCTGACCTTGAACTCACAGAGACCCGCCTGCCTCTGCCTCCAGAGTGCTGGGATTGAAGGCGTGCGCCACCACCGCCCGGCTTGTTTGTTTTTTTATATAGACTTTTATGGTGTGTGTGTGTGTGTGCATGTGTGTGCATGTGCACGCGCGTGAGAAGTGGGGGAGGGTGGCACAGCTCGTGTGAGATCAGAGGACACCTTAGGTCCTCCACCATGTGGGATCTGGTCAGCAGCAAATGCTTTCACCATTGCTCAGTGAGCCTATTTTTTTTTTTAATTTAATCAATTCATCTGTATAAGTTTGTATCAGTTTGTGGGTGTGTTCCCACTGTGGACATTTTATGTGTGGAGGTAAGAGGGCGACTCTTGGAAATTGGCTCTCTCCTTCCACCGCGCAGGTCCTTAGAATTGAACTCGGGTCATCGGGTTTGGTGGCGAGCACCTTTACCCTCCGAGCCATTTTGCTGGGCTACAAACTCTTCGTATTAACCAGAGATCGGGGCTCCCACTCCTTCCTTGAACCCCAAAGTGCACCCATCCCCACTCTGGCCTGTAGCACCGTAAGGTTTTGTAGTTATCTGCACTTCCGGACACGGGGTCCAGCAGCTAGGTGCTGGGCCTTTTCTTCCTTAAGGGCAGACCTTCCTAGCTCGTCGTGTGTGTGTGTGTGTGTGTGTGTGTGTGTGTGTGTGTGTGTGTGTGTGTGTGTGTGGTTTGTGCGTGTGCAGGTGTGTTTGCACATGTGTACAGGAACATGGGGAAGCTAACAGTCAACCTTGACCATTGTTCCTCAGGTACTGTCACCCTTGGTTTATCTTTTGGGGTTTTTTTTGGGGGGGGTTACATTTATTTGTCCATCATGCATGCTCATGTACACATACATGCACATACTAAGTTCTGTCTGGAGATCAGAACACAGCTTGGGGAAGTCAGTCTCACCTTCCACCGCGAGATTCCAGAGATCAAACAAGCCGTCTTCCCAGGCCTGCCTCGCTGTCTTCTGAGACAGGCCTCTAACTGGGACCTAGGGCTCCCTGTTAGGCTAATCTGTCCCACCAGTGCACCCCAGAGACCCGTCTGTCTTTGCCTCCCCAGGGCTGGGAATGTGTACCACCATGCCCTGCTCTTTTTTCTGCCGGATCCGGGAATTGAACTCTGGTCCTTTGGTTTGCAAGGCAGACACTTTACTGACTGAGCCGTCTCCCTCACCCCTACTTAAAGACTCATTTTTTCAGTACTAGAGATAGAAACCAGGGCCTCACCCATACTAGGCAGACTCTACCAGACTTCTTCTGTCCTGTGTGTCGATGAGGTTTGTCCCCGGGTGTAGGGGTGGGTGTAGAACTGTTTCCCGGTGGAAGTTAAGGGAGGGAGGTCGGGTTGGTAGGTCGGGAGCTCCAGTGTGTTCCCTCTGTTCCCCTAGGGTTTCTGTTCCTGGCTGACAGCCATCTTCAGGATAAAGTAAGTGGATGGTCTGCGCACTCTAAAGAGAAACAGAGAAAAACCTCAGAACCTGTCATCTCCCTCCAAAATCAAGGCCAGCAGCTTTGAGGGCCTTAGTGCTCCTGGCCACTGCAGTACCCCGAGCCCTACTCCAAGAGGCCAAGCAATGGGGGTCTAGCCTGTGCTGGCCCCCGAGTGCTTATTCTGACCCATCATCTCCTCTGTGGCACTCTGCTCGAGGCCAGCCATGCCCTGGCCTACCAGCCCTGGCCACAGCTTGAGAGCAGAGGCCGGAGCCTCCACCTTGGCCTCTCTGCAGCCAGCGGGTAGGGGCAGCAGGCAGGCTGGAAGCAGCCAGCCAGCCGCAGGCAGGAGCCAGCAGCCAGCAAGGCAGAACTCAGGAGATCCAGCCAGAGTCCACAGGCAGGCAGTGAGCGCTGAGAAAGGCAGGAAGCTGGGACAGGTCAGCACCGGGCCCCTCCCCGTGCTCTGGGCCCCTCCCCTAGGAGCTCAGCCCTGGGACCCTTACGGAGCTGCCGCTGCCCCGCGCCCAGCCTCCGTCCCACAACATCCCGACTTCTTGCCTCCCGTTCCCGTTTTCCCTCTTCCTGTCCTGTTCTCTCCCTCTGACCTTGCCCCCTCTTTCTCTCACGTCTCTTTTGCTGGCCACTTCCGGGCTCTGAGCATTCCTCCTCCTTTCTTCCTCCCCTCCCAGGAAATCGGGAGGAAAAGTTCCATCACAGCCCCATTGCTGCCCCACCAGCAGGGGTGGCCGGGGTGGGGGTGGGGGTGGCAGGTTCCAGCCTCGCCTGCCTCGGCTGCTGCTCACCAGCCTCTCCCGTCTGCCTCCTGTGGTCTGCAGGGATGACGAGATCCGGGACAAGTGCGGGGGCGACGCTGTGCACTACTTGTCCTTCCAGAGACACATCATCGGGCTGCTGGTCGTCGTGGGCGTCCTCTCCGTGGGCATCGTACTGCCTGTCAACTTCTCAGGGGACCTGCTCGGTCAGTGAGGGCCGGGGGGCTGGAGTGGGAGGGGGCGGAAGGGCATCCGTGCCGGCCGACCCTACCGCCATCCGTGCCGACCCTACCGCCATCCCCTTCTCCTTCCCGCCTTCCAGAGAACAATGCCTACAGCTTCGGGAGAACCACCATTGCCAACTTGAAATCAGGGTGAGGCTGGGGTCTGGGGTGGAAGGAAGCCAGAGATGGGAGGCTTCAGAGACGCATGGACACACGGAGGTAGACGCTGCTGACTGAGGACCCCACGTGACCCTCTGCCGCCCACAGGAATAATCTCCTCTGGCTGCACACCTCCTTTGCTTTCCTGTACCTGCTGCTCACCGTCTACAGCATGCGGAGACACACCTCTAAGATGCGCTACAAGGAGGACGACCTGGTGAGGAAGTGCGGCCCCGGGGCTGCAGCGGTGGAGCGGGGCCGCTGGGTGGAGCGGGCGGCTGGGTGGAGCGGGGCCGCTGGGTGGAGAGGGCTGCCGGGTTCCCTCCAAGTGGGATGAGCGCACCTCTCCAGGGATCCTAGGAAGGGACTGCCTGGGCCTCCCCATGCTGAGCCCGGCCCTTGGGCAATGGCCCTGGCTGGTAGTGCTGCCAGATGGTTGTATTGTCGTCTTGCTTGATATGGATGGTAGGAATATCCCTTCACCTTCTACTGCCATTCACCCGGCCTGCACCAAATGTCTGTGCTTCGTTAGCCACTGTGCTAGGTCCTCCGGGGTCTAAGTGTCCAGCCATCTGGTGACCCCTGCAACCCCTCACAGAACAAGACACCTCTTGGCTCTTCCGTCAGGCTTCTATTACCAACACTCCACTGAGACCTGACAAAGTCCTGAGGCCTGTTCCCACCCACCTGCCCCTCTGCTCACCCCACCCCCAGCCCCTCCCTGCGTCCTCTGGCTCTCCTGGAGCCTACCTTCCTGCAGGAAGACAAGTCTGTCCTCTTCCACAGGTCAAACGGACTCTCTTCATCAATGGAATCTCCAAATATGCAGAGTCAGAAAAAATCAAGAAGCATTTTGAGTGAGTAAGCAGCCCACCCCACCTCAGGCATGCAGACCCTTGCCCGCCCGTTAGCCCCAAGGACATCTGTGCACCCTTGAGTCATACTCAGTGGTTGGCAGCACAGGTTGAGAGGAGCAGACTGGGGGAAGACCTCGCGTCCCAACCTGGGCTGGTCTCCCACTTTCCTGAGTGACAGCCCCTTCAGAACTGGACAGAGCTGAGGGGTCACTCAGAGTCACCCGTGGCCTTGGGTTTGATCCCCAGCCTTTCAAAAAAAAAAATTAGTAAATGAAAGAAATAAGATGGAATCCTGAAGAGTGCAGCCTGTGACATTTATTTCCTCCACTCCGCGCCCCCCGCACCCCCCCCACACTCCTGGCTTGGACTGGGTCATAGGTAGTTGGCCCAGGAGCCGGAGGTGGCCGCTTCTTCGGAATTATTAGCAGCATTTACTTGGTGCATATGCAGACTTTGTGGGAAAGCTCATGGGCTGTGAGTGGCTTCTGAGGAGGTTGGCCTGTGTTCCCTCAGCTTCTTTGGCTCTTCGGTTCAGGCACCTGGACAGGCACCTTGGTGCTGAACTCATGGTGTAGAGAGTCAAGGGCTGCCAGTCGTGGTGGCGCACACCTTTAATCCCAGCACTAGGGAGGCAGAGGCAGGTGGATCTCTGTGAGTTCGAGGCCAGCCTGGTCTACAGAGCGAGTTCCAGGACAGCCAGGGCTACACAGAGAAACTGTCTCAAACAAAAACAAACAAACAAAAGAGTTAAGAGCCCAGCTGTAAGGGTCTAGAGGGACAGTCTGCAGCAGGATTAGAGGTAATGTCACACTTTTATTTATTTATTTCCAAAGATGAACGAACAGTCATCCAGCTCAAAGGTCACACCATGGAGACCAGCTATAGCAGTTAGTCAGGGGTCTGAACTGAGATTGGTTCAAATCAATCTGTGACCCAAATTAGGAACCAGCAAGTGTCCATGACAAGGGACAAGTCAATCTGCGACCCAGATTAGGAACCGCCCAGTGGTTGTGACAAGGAACGTTGGTCTGGGTCCAAGCTCAGGCTTCAGGCAGAATCAGGGCTTTTTCTTTCTTTTCTTTTTTAAATTTTACTTATTTTATGTGTATGGGTATTTTGACTGTGTACCGTGTGGGCACAGTGCCTGTGGAAACCAGAGAGAGAGAGAAACAGTTCCCCCGGGGCTAGAGTTACAGATGGTTTGAGTAGCTGTGTGATTACTGGCGATCAACTCGGGTCCTCTGGAAGAGGACCAGTTCTCTTTGGCCCCAGCCATCCCCCAGCCCCAGGTCTATTCCTGGGGTCCGGGTCTGCTGTCATTGTCCTGGGCTGGTCAGTATGTCGTCCTGTCAGCAGTATTGTCTGAGCAGGTTCGGAGGCCACATTCCAGAGCCTTCTACAGGGTATAAGGTACAGAGATCCAGAGCTAGACACACACACACACACACACACACACACATTGAATATCTGTGTGCAGGCATAGAAATGTTAGCAGTAAGGCCTGCCCTTCTGCAGCTTACGAAATAGGGTAAGAGAAGTATGTGGGGTTCAACCTTTTATCAGCATGGGGCGCTCTAGGTTGAGGTCCAGTGTGTGCTCAGGATCAAGGGACATTTTGTCCACTTGGACAATTGTCAGCTTGCGTTGACATGTCCTGATGCAGACCACTAGTGAGCCATGGGCCTGCCCCGGGTGAGGGCTCAGCATATAGCAGTAAACAAGCCCAGCCATTTTCCTTTCATTAGTCCTGGGAGTCAGTGGAGACAAGCTGCTCTAAACACCTCACGTTGCAGTGGTGCTAAGGTGCCATCCGGAGCAGGGAAGGGGGACATGTCAAAGTGACCCTCCCAGGGTGGCATTTGACAGACCTGAGCGCAGCGAAGGAGTGTACCCTCCTGGTCACCTCCGCTATTCTGCTATGTGCTGTGGGAGGCAGAAAGCCAGACTAGATTGACAGGTCCTGGCTGAGCTGCTTCAGGGTTGGTCTAGGAAAGAGCCTGTGGTTAGAGTTCATGCTCACTCACAAAGGAGGTGTGAAGAGAATCTAGTCTTTATTGGACGGCTTTCCGTGGGCTGAACATATGAAATCCGACTTTCACCCACCTGTCCACTCAGCCTGCCTTGTTGAGCACTTACTGTGGGGGGGCTGTCGGACAGGACCTTGTATGTGATGATGATTAGGAGATAGCTGTGGTCCACACTGAGCTGAGCGGTCATCCGTGTTCACTGAGGCTCGTGGTCCAGGTCTAAGGACCGTGTGGACTAGAGGACTGCCCCAGAAGAGGTAGAGAACATCCTTTGTGTAGAATCACCGAGCCTGTCTGGTTAGCTTTAAAGGATTTGCCATGAGCCTGGCAAGGGTGAGCGCTTGCTCTCCCAAAGAGGAAGCCTACAGCATCTTAAAGAGCTGTGAAGGGGAGAGCTGTGGCCACCTGCGAGCTCATTTTCAAGGACCCGGAGCCAGATGTGAGTTTGTGAAGTTCATCTTGCTGTGGTGGAACTTTATCACACGTGTCTCAAATATTTGGTGGCCCTTCGTTTAATTTTAATAAGATATCAGAAAATGGAAACAGTCAAGATTAAGGACTGGATCAGTTTGCAGTCATGTGGGAAGGACCCTGCTTGGTGGATCAGCAAGCATTTTGTGAATGCTCTCTGGAACCACGTGCCAGTGGGTCAGGGCAGCTGGCCCTAGCATTCCATCTCAGGTTGGGGGGAGGGGTCAGCCCTGGGCCTGGGTCATGGCCAGGGTTAGAGATCAGATTCAGGATCGGTTTCTTGTTGGTCTTGGGCCAAGATTGGTTGTAGAAAATCCAAACTCAAGGCCAAGTGTTGGATCAGGACCAGGGCTTCCGGGAACAGGGCTCAGAGAACAGCCTGTGACTAGAAACAGTTTCTCTGAACCTCAAGTTCACAGCCCTGGGCAAGAATCAGACCAAAGCCCTGGCCTCCCCAGTTCCACACAATGGTGTCCTCACACATCCTGGGTTATTGTCACCTCCTGCCTTTCGAGAGTCTGAAGGCATACCTGCACCCCGCCCCCACTCACATAACATGAGGAAGTTATTTTCAAAGTTCTGTTCTTTTTGTCTGTGTATTTTTCAAGACAGGGTTTCTCTGTGTAACCCTGGCTGTCCTGGAACTGCCTTTGTAGACCAGGCTGGCCTCAAACTTACAGAGATCCACCTGCCTCTGCCTCCTGAATGCTGGGATTAAAGGTGTGCACCACCATCGCCAGATGATTTCTTTCTTTTTTTTTTTTTTTTCCTTCTGAAGTTCTATTCTTGAGAGCTGTAGACTAAGATGGGGGTGAGCTGGGGATGTGTTGATGTGGGGGAACCCTGGATGAAAGCAAGGGTAGGCAGTGAGGGGCCCTGCAGAGTATGACGGCTGGACTGTGTTTCAGGGAGGCCTACCCCAACTGCACGGTGCTGGAAGCCCGGCCCTGTTACAACGTGGCTCGTCTTATGTTCCTTGATGCCGAGAGGTACTGGGTTGGGGTCGGGGAGGATGACACCAGGGGCCCTCTGCTCATCATGGAGGGAATCTTGGCCACCTTGTGGGATCCTGGCTCCCTTTTAGGATGTTCCCTTGTGTGCTTTGAATGTGACTCAACCTCGGGAGTCTCTGTTACTTCCAAGGCCTGGGGCTTAGAGTGTGTTGCAAGAGGGAGGGGGTCTGTGGCCCTCACGTCTGAGGACTGACCCTCTTAAGCTACAGTACAAGAAATTTATGGCAGACTAGCAAAAGAATTGGCCCTCCAGAAATGGACAAGGAAATCCTTGGATGGGATTATTGCTGAGCCATATTGGCTAAACAAACCCCGGAAAGGTCCCTTGGGGACCTGAATTTTGTCCACTCCCAACCCCTTTGCATCTGAGAAAATTTTACATGGCCTCAGGTTTGTAGGTATATAAATAGGAGTACAAGTCAAACATTTACTGATTATAAGTCATAAATGTATTTTAGCTGGTGATTGTTGTATGCACCTTTAATCCCAGCACTTGAGAGGCAGAGATAGGCAGATCTCTGAATTTGAGGCCAGCCTGGTCTACAGAGCTATTTCTAGGACATCCAAAGCTATACCGAGAAACCCTGTTTTGAAAAAAAGCAAAAACAAAAACAAAAAAGGAAGAAAGAGCCAGGCAGTGGTGGTGGACACCTTTAATCCCAGCACTCGGGAGGCAGAGACAGGCGAATCTCTGTGAGTTCCAGGCCAGCCTCATCTACAAAGTGAGATCCAGGACAGCCAGAGCTACACAGAGAAACCCCGTCTTGAAAAACCAAAAAGAAAGAAAGAAACTTAAGACAATTCTTGGGGTTGGAGGGTTGGAGGGCTAGCTCAAAAAACTTGCCTTACAAGACACTCAGTCCCCAGAAGCCATATTTTATAAAGGTGTCACGTCACAGCACACACGGGTAACTCTAGTGTTGGTGAGGCAAAGACAAGAGACCCTGCCTCCAAGGAGGTGGATGCCAGAGTGACAGTGGTGCCCGGGTTATCCTCTGTGTGCGTGCGTGCGTGCGTGCGTGCGTGCGTGCGTGCGTGTGTGCGTGTGCATGTGCGCACACACACTCATTTTAAAAAATTCCTTGGTCCTTATATAATCCTATCACTTATTATTTAATGAAAAGACTGGGCTGGGAAGATGGGTCAGTCGGTAAAGCATTTCTCATGCAAGAGTAGAACCTGTGTCTGGATCCCCACCACTCACGTGAAAGCCAAGCCCCAGGCACATCTATAACCCTGGTCCTGTGAGGGAAGAGACAGGCGATACCTGAAACTCACTGGCCATCCAGCCTGACCAAATTCATGAGCTCCAAATTCAGTGAGAGCCCTTGCCTCAAAAACTAAGGTGCAGGCCCGGTGGCATGGTGGCACACTCCGGAGGCAGAAGCAGGTGGCTCTGAGTTCAGCGCCAGCCTAGTTTACATCGTGAGTTCCAGGAGTGTCAGGGCTACATAATAGAGAGACCCTGTCTCCAAAAAACAAAACAAAACATAAATTAAAAAAAACAAAACTAAGTTGTAGAACAATCGAGGAACACCCCCAATGTCAGTACACACATGCATACACCCGTGTACACACACAGCACAAACAAGAGGAAAGCACATTTCTAAAATGGATGTACTGGTGTGTCTACACAGTACCAAAAGTACGAGGAATAGCTCAGGAAAACGTTAACTCTTTGTTTTTCATAATTAAACCAGTCTTCTTCTACAAGAGCACAAAGCTATTGGTGTGCAGTGAAGTCACTAACACAGTCTGAGCCTGACTGTTTCGGGGAGCAGTCACTGGCAAAGGCCACACAAACCGCAGGCTGTGTGCTCAGAACCAAGGCTGCAGTGGGGTCGCATGCTGCAATACAGGCGAGCTCTGCCAGACTCGGAGGTGTTTATTTTGAATTAATCTGTGGTTATTGAACTTTCAGAGACCTTTGACTGTGGCCTGACTTTTCATAACCCTCAAGTTCAGTTATGTGTCCCCACCTCACGCCCACAGTTAAAAAAGCTTTGAGTTTTACCAGGTGGTGATGACACACATATTTAATCCCAGCACTCAGGAGGCAGAGACAGGCAGATCTCTGGGAGTTCGAGGCCAGCCTGGTCTACAGAGGGAGTTCCAGAACAGCCAGGGCTACACAGAGAAACCCTGTCTCCAAACAAACAACACAAAACCCTTGTGGTTTCTTGGTGACCCCAAGCTCAGTTCCCCACCCCACCTCCCAGCCATCCCCAGACCCTATGTGGTGGGTAACTGGCCCCCCGGGTCCTACAGGAAGAAGGCTGAGCGGGGAAAACTGTACTTCACGAACCTGCAGAGCAAGGAAAATGTACCCACCATGATCAACCCCAAACCGTGTGGCCACCTCTGCTGCTGTGTGGTTCGAGGCTGCGAGCAGGTACCGTGTGGGCTGCCTGTAGGTGCCCAGGGTGCCTGGCAAGGCTGGGGAGGATTGGTCAAGTCTCAGTAGACATGGATGGCCACGGGTAGACCCGACCCACCACCCCAGGACAAACAGGTGTGGGGGACAGAAAGACCCAAAGGTGAACAGACTCCCAGAGGAAGAGGGCCTGGGCCCTACCCAGATAAGCCTCCCACTGCCTCTGGAGTCCATGGAGACCCGATTCTTTCTTTAAATAGTTATTTGTCCGGGGGAGGGTATACCGTGGTGCGTGTGTGCGGGTCAGAGAACAGTCTGCGAGAGTCCGTTCTCTACACCGTACGGATGCTGTGGCTCAGACTCTGGTCCTCAGGCTTGGCGAGGACCTTTGACTCACTGAACCGTCTTGCCGGCCCCTGAAGCCCCGCCCTCACTGTTGGGTTTATCCTGTTGGTGGTAACTTTTTTTTTTTAAAGAAGTATTTATTTACAGCGTATATAGTATGCCTGTACACCAGAAGGCGGCACCAGATCTCATGACAGATGGTTGTGAGCCATCACGTGGGTGCTGGGAACTGAACTCAGGACCTCTGGAAGAGCAGCCAGCACAACCACAAATTAGGCAAGCATAGCAGGTGTCGGGCTGTTGTTCAGTGCTGGCCTAGCACACACAGGCCATGGCTTTGATCCCCCGTACCACACAAATCAGGGGTGACACATGCCTGAGACCCCAACATTCAGGAGGTATAGGCAGGAGGGTCAGAAGTTCAGGGTCATACTCAGCTGCATAAGAGAGTTTGAGGCCAGCCTGGGAGACTGTGAGACCCTGTTTTTTAAAAATAGTCAGCTGGGAAGCTAGTCAGTGTAATAGTGTGTACTATTGTACACACCTGTAACCCCACTGCTTGGGAGGTTGAGGCAGGAGGGTCTCCTGTTTAAGGCCAATCTTGACTGCATAGCAGTTTCCAAAAAGAAAAAGAAAAGGAAGGATGGAAAGAGGGAGGGAAACAAACTGTATTTTTAACAAGTTTCTTAATTGCCCCGTTCCTTGGTTTCCCCCTTAAGACTGGGTTCAGAGACGGCTCAGCGGTTAAGAGCACTGGCTGCTCTTCCAGAGGACCCGGGTTCAATTCCCAGCACCCACATGGCAGCTCACAACTGTCTGTAACCCTAGTTCTAGGGGATCCGACTCCCTCACACAGACATACATCCAGGCAAAACACCAAAGAACATTAAAAAAAAAAAAAAGGCTGGGTTCCTTGTGCCCACCTTGCAAGGTCAGAGCAAGGACAGAGCGACTCCAGACCTACCAGAAAGCCCCAGGGAGCATGGCGTGATGCTGGCTGACGCCGTGGGTGCCTCCCAGCGCTGACCAGAGCCCCTGACCCTCCTGCCTGTAGGTGGAGGCCATTGAGTACTACACAAAGCTGGAGCAGAGGCTGAAGGAAGACTACAGGCGGGAGAAAGAGAAGGTGAACGAGAAGCCACTTGGCATGGCCTTCGTCACCTTCCACAACGAGACCATCACAGCCATGTGAGTTGTCGGCGTGGTCACATGCTCCCAGCCCCGCCTGCTGCCCCCGGCCCTCTCTCTGCCACAGGGCCCCGCACTCACCACTGTGGGCCCCAATCTCGGCTGCATTAACAAGTATCCATCCCCCCAGCATCCTAAAGGACTTCAACGTGTGTAAATGCCAGGGCTGTGCCTGCCGTGGGGAGCCGCGCGCCTCTTCCTGCAGCGAGGCCCTGCATATCTCCAACTGGACCGTGACCTATGCCCCTGACCCCCAGAACATCTACTGGTGAGCCGTAGCAGGTGGAATGGGGCTTCTTACGGACGGACAGACGGACGGACGGACAGAGGGGCTGTTTCCGGCAGGAATAGGAGGGGGAGGGGGTAGATGTTGCCAGACACCGATGAGTCCAGAGTCCTCAAAGTGACCCTCCCCCACCTTCCCAGGGAGCACCTC